ATTATTTCAATGTCCTTTTAACAATTCTAAGTCCATTTCTTGCAGATGATATTATCAGTGTTCTTTAGAATATTTCCATTTATACAAAAACCATCTCTATAATTGATGTGTCAGGAAAAAAATTCGCTTTACTAGTACCCTCTAGAATATTCAAAACATATCCGTAAAAGGCACTTGGAACAATAGTAATAGTAAGTAAGGGAGGTAAGAGTAAAGTGTTTAATCTGACTTTAATGAATAAATTAATGAGAATCGAGTGAGTGAGTGAGTGAGTGAGTGAGTGATCGAGTGCCATTCAAGTGCCTCCAAAGGCCCATGGCATGACTACGTCATCCATGAGCTAAAAATTAATACTTTGATGTTATTGTTAATAATAACAATGATATATTAATAATAATGACAATAATTTAATTAATAACAATGCTAACTACGGTATTAAAATCCTATTTACAATTAATCCGCTTAAACAAACTATTTAATCAAAACTTTATTTACAATTCCTTAATTTTGATAATAATAATAATAATAATAATAATAAAGTTTGGTTTTGATTGCTCCCGAAACTGGTATGATCACGAGCCAAAGCCAGCGGAGGAATCAGAAGAATGCAAGTTACTATGGGATTTTCCTCTTCCAACTGACCACAAAATTGAGCACAACAGACCAGACGTTGTAGCTGTAGACAAGAAGGAAAGGAGCTGCACAAAGATATTGCTTGCCCATTTGACCATCGAGTAAGTCTTAAAGAACAGGAAAGATCGAATACCAAGACTTAAAATGAGCTGAAGCGTCTGTGGAATTGTAAAGAAGTTGTCCTTGTATTGATCGTCTTTGGTGCCCGCAGAACAGTCAGTAAAAGATTCCATCTGTATCTAGAGAAAGCGGGACTCAATGGAAGTATTCTGCCATTACAGAAAGCTTGTTTACTGGGAACAGCAAGAATAATTTATTGCAAGAAAGGTAATGGATACCTAGGGTGACGGGAGGTCACCTGGTGCCAGGGAATGATCGGTTGGACGACCAAGAAAACCAAGTGAACTGACAATAATAATGATGATAATGATGATGATAATAATAATAATAATAATAATAATAATAATAATAATAATAATAATAACTATTATTATTATTAATAAAAAGAAATTTTATTGACAACAATGCTAACTATTAAAATCCTACATGTATTTACAATTTTTTTATTAATTCGCTTGAAAAAAACTGTTCATTCAAAACACTTTTTCCAATTCCTGTCGATTATAAAAGCACTTAATTTTGCTTAGAAAAAGTTAATTTCACTAAGAAAAATTATTCAAATTTAAAACATTTCATTTCAATAAAAACTATCAGCCTCTAAAATTCAAAACATGTTTTCGATTTGTAAATCTGAGTCGACAAAGTCTAGCTGTCTTCTTCTGGATCTTGAGCCTCTCAAGCATAGTATCGCAGAGCGTACAATGGTGAAAGACACTTGAGCTCTTATCCGGGAAATTGCGCTTGAGTAACTTTCTCCCTTCTTATTTTCGTTCAGCTCCGCAAGTCTGCTGTGGTACTTAACACACTCATCCACCATTCCACCTGTGGTCGTGAAAACTAGGGGAGTGAACATTCCCTGTTCGATCTCCATTACTCTTTCCGCATCCTGCCTCTTCTTCTCGTTCTCATACTTCTTGTAGATCTGCTTAGGAGTCAAGTCTCTGTAAGGGTCTGCATTGGGGTGACACACCCGAACATCAAAAAATGCAGATCTCTGTCTCTCCCAAAAGCCTAGAGCATGGACATCCAAACGGGCATCAGGGGCTTTGTTAGCGCCATGATTTAATACCTCCGCAGTGACCTCCTGAAGGACTGGCTCTTCTACATCATTAGAGACCATCCTTAGCATCTCTGCTTCCAAGTCGCACAGTTCATTATGGCGCTGGATAATGAACCCGCCACGCTGACACACCATTGTGGGATCCACGCTTATTCAAACACCACATGTGCAGATCACGGGCGTGTTCATCATTTCCCAGTTGTAAAGTAACTTGATTGCATCTCCAAATTCCTTCTTATTCAGATTGTAGCCGAGCTCTTTGAGGGGGATCACGGTCAACCAACTTGAGGATCCCTTCTCTGTAGCTAACTCAACAGCTCGCTTATCTTTTGTTGGCAGGGAGTTCTTCACCTGCTCCAGCCTCTCACTTAGATAGTCATCTTTTTATTTTCGTGTGCTCAGTTGCAGTGTTCGAATTTCTGAGGCATCTGGAGGCTGGTGCTCTTGCTCAACAATTCGCCTCATGAGCAGATTTGTAACTTTAATTGAAGCCTTGTATTCAGAAGATGAGGTCACTACAGGATCTGTGAATCCAAGGCCTCCCATGTGCACAGGGAGACCAAGGAGGTTGCGCTCTACTTTAGTGACTGTATGGTCAGTGACAGCTGGTATGAGAACCTCATTAATCGTGCGCTTGAGTGGCTCAAGTAATTCTGCAATATAATAATAACAATAGTAATAATAAAAAGATCATCCTCCTAGGAATAGCGCACATACTGAAAAGGTTTCTGTCCTTCAAATAAAAAACTCCCCTGGTATCTCAGGAACTAGGATTGGCTCCGGTTCTAGGAGAGTGTAGGAAGCAATTAAGAAAGTGATAAAGGCTTGAGCTTGTAAATTAGTATTTTAGGATCTTTTTCATAATTTTTATTTCATGAAAATTTTAGACTATGATAGTGGAATGTAAATTGGTCATACGATGACTACCGCTTAATCGCTAGCCAAGCGTGTGTCCACTAATTTTGGAAAGTCGATAATGGCTTGAGCTTGTACATTAGTATATTAGCATTTTAAGATCTTTTGATATTTTTATTTCCTCAAAAGTTTAGTCTGTGATAGTGGAATGTAAATTGGTCATAATGTTAATAAAGATTTTTATTATTTATTAATAGCACTGAAAATGTTTACTATAATAATAATAATAATAATAATAATAATAATAATAATAATAATAATAATAATAATAATAATAATAATAATAATAATAATAACACCAAAACAGAGGGCTTTATTATTGCTGCCCAAGATCAGGCCATCAGGACCAACTACTATCATAGCAAGATGCTAAAAGATGCACAGACCCAATGTGCAGGATTTGTGGTCAATTTCAGGAAACTATTGACCATATTGTGGCAGGGTGCCCTCAGCTGGCCAAAACTGAATACCTTCACAGACACAACAAAGCTGCCACATACCTTCACTGGAACATCTGCAACGAGATGAATATCAACACAAACGAGAAATGGTGCAAGCATGAGCCCCAAACAGTAACAGAAAAAGACAACATCACAATCTTGTGGGATATGCCAATACAGACAGATCATGAGATGAAGACCAACAGACCCGACATTGTAATCAAGAACAAACAAGAAAAAAGCTGCCTGCTCGTTGATATGTCCATTCCCACCGAAAAGAACCCTTCAGTTAAAGTAACTGAAAAACTCTCAGAATACAAAGACCTTGAAATCGAAGTTGAAAGAATGTGGGGGATGAAAGCTACAACAATTCCGGTAGTGATAGGGCCCTGGGACTAATTAAGAAAGGGTTGGAAAATATATACAACAGATCCCGGGTAACATCAAAATGCATGAACTACAGAAGATCACACTAGTTGGAACGTCTCACATCCTAAGAAAGGCTTTCTCCAACATACAGGCTTCTACCTCATTCTAACCCTAGGCCCAAGGAATGGGCTCGGCTATTATGTTGTGTTATGGTATTACATTAAAGGAGATAATGATAATAATTATAATAATAACAATAACAATGATAATAATAATATCTAATGTTAATATTTTTTATGTAAATAATATTATTAATTAACTTGTATTGTACAAAAAATTAATATCAATAAAAAATTCCATATGCCCATTACATACATTTCTAGTACAAATTCGAAGGACAATGACTAATTATTCCGTAAAATCCTATTTGCAAATCCTACTTGATAATTAATAGTATTTGATAATAATGATATTTTAAGCTAATATTGCAGGATCTCAGTATCATTGTAGCACAGTCTATGACTAAACCTTCCTTTCCTTACTTGCCGTACTTGCAGTTGCTCTTTATGAGTCGCGGTATTTGCCCCTTTGTCCCTGCTTTTGACATCACAATGAGACAATTGCACGATGTCGTCATTTTACTACAACTACCAGAATCCTTGAGTTTGTTGTTTTCTTGTGCAAATTAAGGCTATTGTTCTTTAAACCTCAGTGGAATTGACAAATTTAAATTAGAAAGCAAAGACGAAATGAATTCTGGTAGTTGTAGTCAAACAGCGTCATCGTGAAAATGGCCTGTTATTACATTTTTGTAATACACTACCGAGCAAAAGAAAAATCACCAAAAAAATCTTATACTTATAGGGAAATATATTTATGGAGTTGCAGAAGGAATGAAGTACTTGCAACCATACACAGTTTTATAGTTTGAGTAAACAATAAGGACGAAATGGAAAAATATATCTGCACTAAGAATAAGAGTTTACAAAAACTAATGGACAAGTGTACTTTGTAATCTAGTTTATTTTCTTCTTTTACAAAAATGATCATACAAGTGGACTTTATAGGTAATTTATTTGGTTTCTTCTTTTTTTTGAAAAGCACTTGTAAAATAACGGTAGGCATAGCTTTAAATAAGCTGATCATGTGTAGTGATAATACTGTATAATTGCATGTGTGCTTAGGTGTATAGTCCGTGTGTGTGTATATATACTGTGTGATAATTATTGTAATTGTTTTACTTTGGAATAAATGAAATTTAAAAAATACGTTCTTTCTTAGTTTATCACAGTAGACTGATTCGTTTTGTTTTCAAAACCTCAACAGACAAAATGCAAGATCTTCGCGGAGCCGTATACATGCAAAGGCCTTTATCAGCAGGAGAACATCATGTAGAAAAAGTCCCAAGGCAATCGAGGGAGACGCTTGAAGACAAAGAAAACTTACAGAGGCAGGAAAGGGGGATGCAGGGACGCGAGCAGAGTCAGCAACGTGAACAAAACTGTCAGAGCCAACTGGGCGAGATGCAGCAGCGACACGATAATTTGCAGCTGAGGTACTCAAACGAAATACAGCAACTCGAACAAAGACAGCAGCATCTTCAACAAAGCTTTCAAAGTCAACTGAGCGTCACGCGGCAACAAAAAGACGTTTTCCAGAAGCACTTTAACGAAATACATCGACGCGAACAAAGACAGTTAGCGGAGAAGAAGCAACTTGAAAAAACCTTTCGGAGCCAACTGACCGAGTTGCGACAACGAGAAGGTAATTGGCGGAGGCAGTTGACCGAGATGCAGCAACGTGAACAAAACGTTCAGGGCCGACTGAACGCGGCCCAAAACGAAATGCAGCAACGTGAACAAAACTTTCAGGGCCAACTGACCGAGATGCGACAACGAGAGAGTAATTTGCAGAGGCAGTTGACCGAGATGCAGCAACGTGAACAAAACGTTCAAGGCCGACTGAGCGCGGCCCAAAACGAAATGCAGCAACGTGAACAAAACTTTCAGGATCAACTGACCGAGATGCGACGACGAGAAGGTAATTTGCAGAGGCGGTTGACCGAGATGCAGCAACGTGAACAAAACGTTCAGGGCCGACTGAGCGCGGCCCAAAACGAAATGCAGCAACGTGAACAAAACTTTCAGGGTCAACTGACCGAGATGCGACAACGAGAAGGTAATTTGCAGAGGCAGTTAACCGAGATGCAGCAACGTGAACAAAACCTTCAGGGCCGACTGAACGTGGCCCAACGACGAGAAGAAAATTTGCAACAGGAGGTAAACGAAATGCAGCAACGTGAACGCGGCTTTGAGAACCAACTGCAACAACGTGAAAGAGACTTTGAGAGCCTGCGTAGCGAGATGCGGCAAGGAGAAGAAAGTTTACAAAGGCGGTTAAACGAACTACACAGTGAAAATTCTGAACTACAGTTAAGTCTATCAACGGCCCAGCAAACATTGGATGGCCTGCATCCCCAGGAAACACGCGATTGGGTTATTTCCCGCGATGAAATTCAAGTCACAGACAAACTGCTTGGACGGGGCGGCTGGGCAAGTGTTTATGAGGGCGTGTATTGCGGCTGCCCTGTAGCAGTGAAACAAATCTATGATTTGATCCTTTCTGATCACAACATTCGTCTATTTGAGAGAGAAATGAGTATAGCATCTAAGTGCCGCCACCCTCATTTACTACAGTTTGTGGGTGCCACGAATGACGAAGAGAGTCCTTTATTTGTGACCGAGCTCATGATGAAAAGTCTGCGGGATCTATTGCAAGAGAGAGAGCTCTTAGTAGAAGAAATATATGTTCTTTGTCTTGATATCGCTCGTGCCCTTAACTATCTTCATCAGAAGAAACCAGTACCCATCATTCATCGGGATGTGAGCAGTGCCAATGTGTTGCTATGGCGACAGGGTGACCAATGGAGGGGTAAAGTGTCAGACTACGGCACTGCTAATTTCATGCAGCAGACCATGACAGTGGGTCCCGGTGCTATGATTTACAGCGCACCTGAGTCATCTACACCAAACCAGACAGTCAAGGTTGTTTTATTTTTCACCAATTAATTTAGATGTAAAACCCTGAAAGCGTGAACACCAGAAATATTTGTGGAATGTTGTTCTGTTGGAATTAGAAATCCTATCAAGCGCGAGAAAAATAAACTGCAAGCAGTGGTGGTCACTAGTTTGTTGTTTGTTCAACAAATCGACAACAATTTTCTATGGTCTACTCTTATCGACCATAGAAATGACATCAAAATGTTCAAAACTCAAGTGTAACCACCTACAGGCGAGTGGTTTCACTGCAAAGTTTAGATCATGGTTCGGTTCAAATTGCTTTTTACAATAATCATTATCATTGAGCTTCTCCGAAAATCGCGCGCGGGAGGAAAACAAAGACAGAAACAAACTGCAAAGCGCCACCTAGGTCATTTGCATGGTTTGTACTCTTATCTTACTATAGCTCTCGACCAAATCGCTCAGTGGATTTTGCTTGCTTAATTGGTCACTAAACAATCAACCTTCCTTAAATATTTAGGTGTTTTTGCTTTTCTGTGTTTCCCTCAAAGGAGTAGACGTTTTCCTCTCCACCTAAGTATACGTTAGTTGTCAGCCTAACAGTTTTCAAAGTTCCTTAATTTGCGTGGGAGACATTTTGTGTGACACGAAGCTGTGATTTCGTCATTCAAAGGTAATTTCTCAAGTTTCATAACGAGTAAAGACGCGTAACAAAATGAACTAGAAAGCCCCTTTAAGCTTAAATTACAAAATTCGACAGCTAAGCATACTCGTATGCTGCAAATGAATCCACCTTAATACTGGTATTCACTCAGTGTTTTACGTCTTTTAGGTTGATGTTTACAGCTTTGGTGTTCTACTTTGTGAAATGTTTATCCGCGAGCTGCCAGATCCTACACGACGTGAAGAACAAGTGGTGCGTGTGAGGAATGGCACATTTAGAAGCCTTGTACGGCGATGCCTACCTATAAATCCGGAATCAAGACCAAGCGTGGAAGAGATAATTAACTATGTTATGCAGCTGAACGCAGAATTGTAATTGTAGAATATACAAAAGCATGTGAGGTCGTACGATTTTTATAACTTTGAAGGACCATCTGTCCCGAGTGGTATGGTCAAGGCTCTTGAAAATTCTAGGTGACCTTTTTAGGGTAAAAATCCGTTGATAATCGGCAATTGTATCCAGGCGCGTAGGAGGGGGGGTTCGAAGGGTTCGAACGAACCCCCTTTGAAGTTCGATAATGGCGGACTGAAATACAAATGATTATAACTGACAACACCAGAGAGGCCGTTTTTTAAAAAATCGAAAACTAATTTGGTTTTTTTTTTTTTTTTGAAAAGCACTTGTAAAATAACGGTAGGTATAGCTTTAAATAAGCTGATCATGTGTAGTGATTATATAATTGCATGTGTGCTTAGGTGTATAGTCCGTGTGTGAGTATATACACTGTGTGATAATTATTGTAATTGTTGTACTTTGGAATAAATGAAATTTAAAAAATACCTTCTTTCTTAGTTTATCACAGTAGACTGATTCGTTTTGTTTTCAAAACCTCAACAGAAAAAATGCGAGATCTTCGCGGAGCCTTCTACATGCAAAGGCCTTTATCAGCAGGAGAACATCATGTAGAAAAAGTCCCAACGCAATCGAGGGAGATGCTTGAAGATAAAGAAAACTTACAGAGGCAGGAAAGGGAGATGCAGGGACGCGAGCAGAGGCAGCAACGTGAACAAAACTGTCAGAGCCAATTGCGCGAGTTGCAGCAGCAACACGATAATTTGCAGCTGAGGTACTCAAACGAAATACAGCGATTCGAACAAAGACAGCGGCAAGTTCAACAAAACTTTCAAAGTCAACTGAGCGTCATGCGGCAACAAAAAGACAATTTGGAGAAGCAGTTTAACGAAATGCAGCGACGCGAACAAAGACAGTTAGCGGAGAAGCAGAAACTTGAACAAACCTTTCAGAGCCAACTGACCGAGATGCGAGAACGAGAAGGTAATTTGCAGAGGCAGTTGACCGAGATGCAGCAACGTGAACAAAACCTTCAGGGCCGACTGAGCGCGGCCCAAAACGAAATGCAGCTACGTGAACAAAACTTTCAGGGTCAACTGACCGAGATGCGACAACGAGAAGGTAATTTGCAGAGGCAGTTGACCGAGATGCAGCAACGTGAACAAAACCTTCAGGGCCGACTGAGCGCGGCCCAAAACGAAATGCAGCAACGTGAACAAAACTTTCAGGGCCAACTGCAACAACGTGAAAGAGACTTTGAGAGCCTGCGTAGCGAGATGCGGCAAGGAGAAGAAAGTTTACAAAGGCGGTTAAACGAACTTCACAGTGAAAATTCTGAATTACAGTTAAGTCTATCAACGGCCCAGCAAACATTGAATGACCTGCGTCGCCAAGAAACACGCGATTGGGTTATTTCCCGCGATGAGATTCACGTGACAGACAAACTCCTTGGGCGGGGCGGCTGGGCAAGTGTTTATGAGGGTGTGTATTGCGGCTGCCCTGTAGCAGTGAAACAAATCTATGATTTGATCCTTTCTGATCACAACATTCGTCTATTTGAGAGAGAAATGAGTATAGCATCTAAGTGCCGCCACCCTCATTTACTGCAGTTTGTGGGTGCCACGAATGACGAAGAGAGTCCTTTATTTGTGACCGAGCTCATGATGAAAAGTCTGCGTGATCTATTGCACGAGAGAGAGCTATTAGTAGAAGAAATACATGTTCTTTGTCTTGATATCGCTCGTGCTCTTAACTATCTTCATCAGAAGAAACCAGTACCCATTATTCATCGGGATGTAAGCAGTGCCAATGTGTTGCTATGGCGACAGGGTGAGCAATGGAGGGGTAAAGTGTCAGACTACGGCACTGCTAATTTCATGCAGCAGACCATGACAGTGGGTCCCGGTGCTTTGATTTACGGCGCACCTGAGTCATCTACACCGAACCAGACAGTCAAGGTTGTTTTATTTTTCAGCAATTAATTTAGATGCAAAACCCTGAAAGCGTGAACACCAGAAATATTTGTGGAATGTTGTTCTGTTAGAATTAGAAATCCTATCAGGCGCGAGAAAAAGAAACTGCAAGCAGTGGTGGTCACAAGTTTGTTGTTTGTATAACAAATCGACAACAATTTTCTATGGTCTACTCTTATCGACCATAGAAATAACGTGAAAATGTTCAAAACTCAAGTGGAACCACCAGCTACAGGCGAGAGGTTTCACTGCAAAGTTTTGATCACGGTTCGAATTGCTTTTTACAATAACCATTATCTTTGAAGTTTCTCCTAAAATCCCCCCCGCGAGAAAGACAAAGACAGAAATAAATTGCAAAGCGCCACCTAGGTCATTTGCATTGTTTGTACTCTTATCTACCATAGCTCTCCACCAAATCGCTCAGGTATTGTAAAATTGGAGTTTGCTTGTGTGTCATGTTCTTTTTAATTGGTCACTAAACAATCAACCTTCCTTAAATATTTAGGTGTTTTCGCTTTTCTGAGTTTGGCTGTAATGCTGTGTGTCAAGAGGTGGTGTGTGTTTGACTACACTTGTATCTCATGCCTGTGTTCGCGGGGGGGGGGGGACCCGGCTTATGAAGGGGGGGGGGAGGTTTGTGGGGACAATACAAACTTTTTTTTTTTTTGGGGTTTAATCCATTAATTAGTAATTCACTATTTTCCAAATAATAAAAATAAAAAAAAAAAATT